GTAACACTTTGAATAATAATGGATTGGATTATTTAATTATGGCAAAGCACACGAGGGCTATCTGCCTAAAGGGAGGGATGCCTTCGTGGAGGACTTTCTAAGGGAAACTAGCTCGTATACACGTTACACATGGGGAAAACCGCGAAAACGCCCATGCAGCCAGCCCGTTCGTGGGATTCGAACCTCTGAATGAACTACCAGCGTTCAGCATCTTTACCGCTCGGCCGCTGGTGGGCCCTTTGAATAATAAAATTTAAAGAAAACATCAGTTTCATTCACGTGAATAAAATAAATACATTTTCCAAAAACACATCCAGGAAATCTATCACCAGTGTCAACATAAATGATCTACAAATATATTTTTAAGTATTAAAAAACTCATAAGCTGAAGATAAACCAAGAGAAAAAGTATCGAGAATTCATTGGCATATATCAACAGCGAAGATAAAATAGTTTCCAATAGCAAAGAGAAAACAGTTTCGAAGTGTTTAAAAGAGTACCGAGAGCACACGCTCTCAAAGCGTTTGCAAAAAGGCAACGACATCACAAATTCATAAATTTTATGGAACATGACATTATTTAAAAATTTCCGTTCTGATATAGGAAAATACTCATTAAATTATTAAATGTTGGTATTCTGTACATGTTTTTAAAGAAATAAATGTATACATTTTTAGGGAAATTTTGCATTCTATTTTGATAATGTTACTGATAAGTTAGAAAATTTTTCTGTATTGAACACATGCGTCTAAGAAATTCTTTGCAAAAAGCAGATAGTTGATAATCATTTCGATACTTCATTAGAAATCAAGTGTTATAGATGAAAAACAATTTAAAATTAACCAAGAGTACAACAGAGTACATGTATAAACTATTTTGCTAACCAGTTATGAATGTTTAAGTGGGATATATCCAGAATCTTCAAAATTAGTAATGAAACGTTCAGTTAAACGTTGATATTTTACTAAAGAAGTCTCTGTAATAGTAAAATGCTCGGTCAAATTGTGCTAACAGAAGGAAAAAATGTGCCTTTTTTATAATATTTGCATGATATCTAATAAAAATGAAAGCATGGCCCCGGTTCAGCAATGCAATGCAAGGTGTTAAGAGTAAGAAAAGATAGTAAACTGAGTTTTTGTCACATACGAATGGCACTGAAAAAGCGAAAATTAGCAATATATTAGCACTGGACTAGGAAACAAATTTTCAAAGATAATCAAGTGGTATGAAAATTAATCAAAAAGGACAACATGTACAAATTTTTCTTCGCAATAACTTATGAATGTTTCCGTTTCAGTAGAATGAAGTCGGAAAGTACAAATTTGGTAATGAAACACTCATTTCAGCCTTTGAGATTTTATCAAAAAGTGCAATAAACACATGTGAGTGTTAGTAAAATTCTACTTGAAAAATGAGCATTTAGGGGAAAACATGACTTTCTTCTCATAGTCACTTAATATGTAATACAATAAGTTAAAATATAACACTGGTTTATCAATACAATATATTACTTATGTACGGTTAGTTGTTCATTTAGAATATGCTAAAGAAGAAACTTTTGAGTCAAAGAGAAACATATTTACAAAACAATGATTCTTAGTTTCCTAGTAATTTAAATCGAGGTCCTGATGTTTCTCATGAACGTCAGACATTTTCTTACACATGTTTCTAATGAAATTATTATATAAACTTCTGTTAAGACTTCATGAGAAAAATCTATGATAGTGCAAGTCAGTGATTCTTGGTAACTTCGAGAAAATATTCTGTATGAGCTGGGTTAACAGTCTCTATTCCCACAGTATACTAAGATAAAAAATTCCATTTCTTTTCTTAATTTTCTGATTCAGCGTGGTAGTGTTATTGAAGTTAAATCTTCCAAACGTGTAAACGTTATTAAATCAAACAATATACTATTTAATAAAATTTATTCCCAAATCTTTACATGGCAATGTAAAAGATAAATAACAAAATATTGAAAATTCAATGATTTGCGTGGCCTAACATTAAAATTGGTAATACTCCAAGTTTTCAAAAGGTTTATGGAAACACGATAACATCATAGTCATCCGCAAATAACTTCCATCGAAACTGAAAACTTTATGCACAAAAATTTACTTGGAATGCGGAAAAAAGAAACATTAGAGGATTCAAAATGAAGATACTTTTCCGGAATGAAATGTACAGTATTTCAAGAAGAATTCACTTAACTTCTAACTTGGTTGTAATGAGCATATGTGAGACACGAAATGCTTCGGATGATAACACATTTAACTATCTGGCAATGAATCAATTTCATGGAATGTAATGTGCATGAAAGCAGAAAAATATACTGATGAATGATTTAACGGATGCAAATGAAAAAAATAACAAACATTTAACTATCTGGCAATGAATCAAATTTCATTGGAAATAATGGCAAAGCAGAAAAATATATAGGATAATCTGAATGTGTTTGTTTTTTTAAAAAAATTTCACTGCAGTATTAAAAGAAAGTTTGCTTTTTTGAGTTGGAAAATTTTCACTTTAATTTTAAAACAAAAATCTCCACTGTTATTTCGTCTATGGGAAAACCCATGTTAATTTCAAAATGTAGTTAGAAAAATTACACTTGAGTTTAAAAACGTGAAAAAAAAATTCATTTAGGTTTTTTAGGTCGAAAAAGTTTCACTTTAAATTTTTTAGGAAGAAAAACCTCCACTTTTCTTTTGTCTATGGGAAAACCCATGTTAATTTCAAAATGCTAGGGGAAAAAGTTACAGTTTTATTTTAAAAAAGTCGAAAAAAATTCATTTAGATTTTTTTAAGTCGAAAAAGTAGTTTCACTTTAATGTTTTTAGGGAGAAAAATCTCCGCTTTTATTTTGTCTATGGGAAAACTCATATTAAATTCAAAATGTAAGGGGAAAATTTTACACTTTGATTTTAAAAAGTCGAAATAAATTCATTTAGATTTTTTTAGGTCGAAAAATTTTCACTTTAATGTTTTTAGGGAGAAAAATCTCCACTTTTATTTTGTCTTTGGGAACACCCATGTTAAATTCAAAATGTAAGGGGAAAATGTTACGCTTTGATTTAAAAAAGTCGAAATAAATTCATATAGAATATTTTAGGTCGGAAAAAGTTTCACTTTATTTTTTTTTAGGAAGAAAAACATTTTTTATTGGTTACGGTATACTTCATTCTCGCTCTAACCTTTTTTCTTTTGAGTTGTAATATTTCTGAACCTGAATCTTCAGAAAACAAAATTCATTCTGATTTATCAAATTCCTTCTAAGTGTAGAATATAGTCTTCAAACAGAATATTTTAGTATAAATAAATGCATTATAGACAAAAATAAGATTAAAAATACTTCATTATTTTTCAGGCCCTATTCCTGAAATTGGTTAAGGTTCTTACCCGACTTATTCCATTCGGGACATTTTCAGAAAAAATATTCATTTCTTGTTCATGTTTTTCCATACTTAGATACAATTTTGTTGGAATCTGACATTTTTTTCCCCTTCTTATATGTTATATTTCACTATTGCTCTTTGGCTTGGTAGAAAGTTTTTTCATGGATATTGCATACCTCTCCTATACGTCTGCAGCTGTTCTAATAAATTACATTACCAACTAGTGTAAATAATATCTCTAGATATATAGGTATTCTCTTGAATGTTTGCTTAATATGTATGTAAGAAGCATTTCTGTTTGAATACTTGCATTTGAATTTTTCTTTTTAAAATTAATTCATACTAATTCACTGGACCATGATATGGAGTTCATGTCAATATTATATGTTTTGTATGGTATTTATGCAAAAATGTTTCTCATATCTGTGAAAAATTAAATATCAGATGTACTCAAAGAGCTGTAAGAATTCTAAGTAATGTCAGTTTGAAATGCGAATCTTCAGTCAAACTGAATATAATGAAGTTACTTTGTATTATTATTTGGAAATTCATGTCAATATTCCCTGTTATGTAGGATTTTATTTGCTACGTATCATAACTTAAAAATCATTCTCAAAAAGCTGTAAGAGTTCAGTGTTTGCCAATTTGAAATGCATATCTTAAGTTAGAAGGAATATATTAAAAAGCTTTGAGATTTGTAAAAATAATGATCATACTATTTGAAAAAAATATATATATACATTCCTAGCTGAGAAATTTTTATATTCTAAGTTGGGAAAAGGATGACAAAGTTTCACTTTGGTGACTTAACATTAATTCCATGTCCAGACATCCTCTCGTTTTAGATGTTTTTCGTTTTCGATGAATTTAAAATATTACATTACAATGTGAATATTCTTCTCTGCAGTTAAAATTTCTGTAGCTTGTTAAAAAATTATGGCTGTGTTAAGTTCAAATATAGCAGTGTTTATGAAGGTCTGTGGTAAATGGTGGGATCACATTAAGAATCCGTGTGAAATTTTCACATGATAGAAATCAAAATTTAACAGTTTTCCGTGATGAAAATGTTCCATGATTTAAATACAATGTGTACAAGAAAATCCAAGATATTTTTGTAAAATATTTCAAAGAGTCAATCTGTGTTAGTAATATATCTGAAACCTCCTGCTCAATAAAAAGGAGTTTTCTGAATATCTTCATGTAAATGTTTGTAGTGTAAAATAATAGGAAATGAAGTGCTGTTGGTACGTATTAAACTGGGATAGACAATAATAAGAAATTTCATATTGTTTTGTATGCATTTGAACTAAACTGGCTAGAGATGTCCATATATTAGTTGAAGTAGATTTTACGTTGTGAAAATTTATTTTTTTCTGAATTAGAAGGTTTAATTCAAAGTTGGTGGATCTTTAAAAAATCCGTATAAGTCTGTATTTATTTTTAGGAAAATATATAAAAAAAATTGTAATTCATAAAATTATAATATAAGAGTATCATGAACTTTCATACATGGAAGCAACACAAAAATAATGACAATATGCATAGAACATTTTAAATTTTTTATGAGAAATTAAATTTTCCAAAGCAAAACAATAAAGACAAACTTCATAAGTAGCAAGATATTTATTTATTTTTCCATATTTTGTGTTACTGGGTGATCTTTGGCTTACCACGCCAATACTACAGAATCAAGTAAGACATATGCAAAACTTAACACCCTTTATATCTCTTCAATCCGATAAAGTTGTTAAACCAGAACTTTACAGAACATTCTATTAGCTGGAACTAACATGACCAGTGGAAAGGTTAGAGTACATATTAAGTTCAAAGTTTATGGTGTTGCACTCCTTGCACATAAAATGCCATGCTAATATAGTTCTCTCAAGAGTATATAAGGTATGTATATTTTAGCCTACAAGGAAGAGATTGCCAGGATCTGCAGTAGTCCTCAATTACTGAAGCCCTTTCACAGAACAGTAATCAAATAAAGGTTTGCCACTTGAACACCACAGTCGCAAGTTAGGAGAATAATCTACATATTTTTGGCTGGAGTTAAGCTGTAACCAAAGACGGAAAATCATTCCAGTCATCGACCTTAGGAGCGGACTGGTGGCCTGATTTTACTTTTGCACTTCCTCGACCAAAGCTTCTGTTACTAACACTGGAACCCATTTCTCGACGTTCTTCCCGCGAACTATCCTTATTACCCATTGAACCTCCTCCACTTCTTGGACCAACGCCTCTCACACCACGGCCTCTTCCTCTTCCACGACGTGAATCATTGAAATTTATTTGTATATCCACAAGCTGCCTATGCCTACCTCTACGTGCAAATTCTTCATCCTAAAGATAAGAGGGAAATCAAATTAAAAAGATATATAAAAGCGATTTTCTTGATCACAATTTAAAAACATTAAAATAGACATCCAGCAAATAAGAATTTATATTGTAAATATGCATTAACTACAGATATGTATAAAAGTATAACTAACACATCTATGAAAGCTTTATAGCAGAAAAATATTATAACTGTACACTAGAATATTTATATTAGAAACTCAGTGACAAGTGTTTCACATGTCATTACATGTATTTAGCTGCCAACCTTGAAATATGAAAGATTGCAGCTTTTAAAAAACTTTTCACGTTATGCTCTGATAACCTTCCAAAAGAACTAACTTCAAATTAACTTAAATTTATTTAATAATGCATGATTCAGGCTACTATTTATAACATGATTTAAGTGTAAATACACTGTTAACAATGCAAAATGCAACATGAGGGACAACGTATCAAAGCCAAATTTATTTCAGAGCTACACAGCACCAACGTTAATCTTTAATAGATTTGAAATACAGCTTTCTTTGAGGTAAGGCAGACAACATAATCAGTAATTAGTGCTGATGTGAATTACAGTGAATGGCAACATATACTGCCTCCAAATATAGCCGAAGTTCATATGATGTGGCAAATGACAGACTATGCATTATCCAATCTTTTGAACACACATATTTGATGGGCATAGTTTAGTTTCATTTATTATGGCAAAGCATAATAGAGCTATCTGCATAAAGGGAGGGATGCTTTAGTGAAGGACTTTCTACTGGAAACTGGCTCGTATACATGGTACACAGGGAGGAAACCATGAAAAAGCCAAAGCAGCCAACCCATTCACCTGGAACTGAACCCAGGTCAGAACTAAGTGTTCAGCAATTTTACTACTTGACCACTGGTGGACAGTCTGGAGAATGGACAGACCAGGGTAACAATGTAATATGGTGGACTAAGAAGAAAGCTTGAGCACTGCATGCAATATAGTTGCATGCTGTCCTGTTAAAATATGGTTGCAGGTAAGCCCTGAAAAAAGGAAGAGCAGGCTGCAAAACTTTCGTGGTAAGTGCACTAGGTGGTGCAGAAGAGGAATCGAATACCACCCTACAACAGAACACTGGGTGCATGATCAGTACGACAATGCATAACACAACAGTCAAGCAGCCTCTCTATGGTGTCTCCAAACTGTAATCTGACCATCATGGTACTACAGGCAGAAGTGTGATTCCTCTAAACACACAATGTTATAGCCATTTGGATGTCGATCTCTGCAAATACCTGTGGTTTAAAGGTAAATGAAGCAATGGATACCTAGCAGACAGTCCACTGCACTGTAAACAATGTTGAATTGTTTGTGCAGATACCAATTGTGTTACAGAGTGCATTCGCTGTGATATGGACATGCGAACGTAGAAATGCACTCCATCAGTGCTATATGCACAACATGCCTATCTTCCCATCGAGTAGCACGATGAAGTGGTTACAAATGCTTCTGTCCATCAGCCATTTCCTCCAGCATCCACCAATTCCAGATTTGCATGGCTTTCTTGGCTATGTCTCATACAATGACTAATTTCCCGGAAGCATAGTCCACAATTTCTGCATGTAAGCCTCAGTCAAACTCAGATACATGCTCGCTTGATGGTCATGTGTTTCTTTGAGGCATACTGAAGCTGCAGGCATAGAAAATCTCATGACAGAACAATGCACGTTATTCAAAACAGCAATCATTCCTCTCTTCTTATACAGATTGTAAGTAGCCCTGCAGTCACCTAGGATGCACACTTTACTGAAATTGTAATCATTTGCATATTCCATCATGATATACAAAAAGCAAGTTTCCTGTTGTTTCGATGCTTCTTTTATGGCGTTGCACTCTGGATGGCCTGCAGTTTATATTAATATTAAATATTTTAAATTTTACATTCATTGGCTAGTTAAAGGTATATCAGTTATTGAATCTAGTGTTAAAAAATAATTTTAAAAATATCAGAAATAAATCACTAAATATTCAGTAAAAATTCATAAAAAAGCATGTTTTTTTACATCTGTAATCATAATATTTCTTACAACATCAAAAGAAAATACTGAATTGAAGTAAAAAACACACACAAAAAAAGAACAATTTCTTTCAAACAGGTGGGCGAAATCTATTAGTCTATTAATCTATTAGTCTTAGACACATGAAGTCTTTTACACAGTTTATCAAGATCCAAAAAACATAGAATACAAACTTACAATATTCAATTCAAACAAATAAATAGGTTCCCTAGATAATCATAAATAATAAATAAGATAAATCAACAATTAAAAAACACTGAGATTATTAAACATACAATATAACAATTCACAGATATTATGACAGTGTGAACCCCCAAATTCAGTAGTTATTTTCCTGCAAATTCGCATGCTTTAAGCATAAATTCAGCACCTTTCTTACACCATATGTGGTATTACTTAAATAACTGCCACCTTCAGTTTGAGGACCACGAGCGGTAAAGTTGCTGAACACTGGTAGTTCGGTCTGAAGTTCGAATCCAACGAATGGGCTGGCTGCATGGGCATTTTTATGGTTTTCCCCATATGTAACGTGAATACAAGCCAGTTTCCCTTAGAAAGTTCTCCACAAAGGCATCTCTTCCCTTAGGCAGATATCTCTCGAGGCTTTGCCGTAATCACATAAACCAAACCTTTGAGTTTGTATGCTCACTAGTCTAAATTCAGATGCTTACTTAATAATACTTACTTTTTATTTCATAAGTAGTTGAAATATAAGCTTATAGAACATTAATTATATCAATATTAAATCAGAATATAACAAAAATTTATGTGAAATGCAAAAGCTTTAAGCCAAATTTTAAAAACGAGTCTCGATTTTTGCTGATACATCACAAACAAGCCTTTAGTGGCTTTATTAAGAAACACTATAAAAAATGTAAAACTGAGGTCAATGACATTCTTGCATATAAAGCGTGTACAGCAAAATCCTTAAAAACCAAAACCTTTAAAACACAGAAATCAAAAGTGATGGAAATTGGCTCCAATGTAATTTCAATGCAGTTCTATGAGGTGAATGTTTCAATCCTGCACCGGACACTGACAGACCACTAAACCTCATGATAAACTTCAATGGGTGCTCAAGCTCCAAATAGTTCAAGTTTTGCCATGACTGAATTCTGCCTCATCCGTTAACCAAGAAATTCAGCTGTACATCAAGTGTGTTCATCACAAAGTTGCACCATCTGCAAAAATCTCTCAGCAAAAATGGTTTGGACTGAATTGAATAGAATCAAATTACTTGTATTATGGCAAAGAACATGAAGGAGAGGAGTACCTAAGGGAATGGATGCTTTTTAAAAGAAACTGCCTCACATTTGCACAAGGAAAACTCTGAGCGAGCTGGCAATTCATGCGAAATCCACCATAAACAACCACATTTAAGGAGGCCACATGCCACTCTGATGCATCTCCTAAAACAATGTAGCATAAAGGCCAGTATGCCCTTCAGCTGCACATGCACACTTGTGTCAGTCTATCAGAAAATGGACACCTTGTGATGGATGATCTGCTCCTCTAAACTAGCAAATATATACTAGTGACAGAAGCTGCAATAATACGATAAGAAAACCTTTCCTGATTGGCACCTTGGAGCTTCCTGATTAGATAAAACATAACGTTTTCATTTGTATACTATCATTCTTCCATCACTGTTTTTGAGACACATTTCATTTTAAGGTTTTGTGCTTTATGCCATTAGTGATGTATTTATACTGTTGATTTGCATTATATCAAGTTATTGCTGTATGTAGGAAATCATACTATATTGGTTATTGTACCATGCTTGTCATTGATCTTTTTTCACAATAAGATGGCTAATTCCCAAAATTCACCTCTAGAAGTGCTGCTTTGTGTCTCCTAAGATACATTTTAATCCTTGTACAGCACATAAAACCATCAACTCCAGTTTTCTACTTGTAAAGTTATTTTGGTAAATAACAACTTTACTAACACTCCATATGCTATGCTTTCATCAAAAATACAGAACTCTTATAACTTACTACATACTGTAACTTTAAAAATCTAAAGAAAATTTTTAAATATTTAAGCAGTATCAGACTATTACTATAAATCAACAGTATCCAGACAACTATAAAAGCACAAAACTTTAGCTTCTGTGTAAATAACAAGTAATTCAAGAGAATGAAGAAAATGAATTAAAAAAAATAATAATAATATAATAAATATGAGCTAATAGATTATAAAAATTTTTATGACCTTAAGTAATTAATGGACACCTTCTTGCATGCAATATGAAAGAACATTCACTAATTCTACAAAGTATAACTAATATTAACATGGGAAATCATCAAGATCTTTACATTATTTTTTATCAACTCTACAAACTATGACCAAAATCAGAATGCATAGCTTTAACAATTGATATTAAAAAAGAGAACCCCAATTTCATATTTTGTCTTCAAAGCATAGCAATGTCCAAAATTATTTTTAAATTTTAAAAACAATTTGTAAAATATCTTTAGAAACTTTTACAAGATGGTATGAAATAGTAAAGTAGCTACACTATGCCAGATCAGAATTCCAGATAATGAGTAATTAACAATTGAATTTCCGTGGCTGCATTTATTTCCTTGACAAATTTATATAATTTTAAAATTAATAATTGAATTTCCGTGGCTGCATTTATTTCCTTGACAAATTTATATAATTTTAAAACAGCAAGGAATGGTCTGTAAGAGAAAAAAACTATAAGAGATTTGGATTTATCACAAATACTATTCTTACTCTTACTGAGAGTGCTCTGAAAGAGAATGCCTGTTTTCTTGAGACCTCATAACATATTTTTTAATTTAATAATGAACGATTTGACAGTTAAAAATTTAAAGATTAAAACATTAAAACTCACATCAACATCTTCATCGTCATCTTCAACCTCCTCATCGTCGTCTTCTTTGGCTTTTTTCTTCAGCATATACAATTTTTTCCACTGATTTCCATCTTCTCCTTCACCAGGTTTACGCAGATTGTACTTTGGAACAGCTCGCTTCGCTTCTTGCTGACGCTTCCATTCATCAAGTGTCATTTCCCGTAAACCCTCCTCTGGTCGTTCTTCTGTAACTGGCTCGTTTTCCCTAAATATAGCATCTATATAAGATTGTAGTATAATTTAAGCAGCAGCAAAGAAAAATACTATTGCTAAAGTGCATCCTGATACTGAATAGCTTATCACAATGTAAACATGAAAGCATATTTAAAAACTGGACATGTTTGCTTTAAGACAATTTTATAAGGAAAGCACACTGCCATAAGAAACAGTATTAAAAAAAAAAAAAAAAAAGAAATGAAAAATGCAAGGAATTACAAAAAAGAAAATACTGGACCAGTCTTCTAAAAAACACAAATGGTAAATAAATAAAAAAAAAAAAAAACATGCCAATTTACCATCACAAAGCAAAGCAAGAAATTTTAGCAAAGCAAGTTTTTAATTCTGAAATTACATACAAAGAAGAAAGAATGCACAAAGGTAGAATGCTTCACAGTTTTCTGCAGGAGATACAGATGTTCTAAAAATTATGGAAACACTTAAAAAAAGGTTTCTGTACAACACTAAAAAAGCAGGAGTTTTTTTTAAGAAATCAGGAGAATTTTTCAATGACAAAAATATTTTTTAAATAATAAAAATATGTAGAAAAAAATATTTTTTAATAATGCATTAACTTTAAAGAGTAAATAATTGGCATTTGATAATCAAAACATTTAAAAACATTTTATAGTTTTTAACTTTAAACAGTTTTTGTCCTTGCACTTGAGTACTTCTTAGTGATTTTACTGCCAGGAAACATTTTTCTAAAAATGCTGCAGCATAATTCGATGCATTCAGAGGCAGGTTGTGCTCCAGTAAAAAGCCAGAGAACAGGCATTCTGCATTAATAATGTTTTGATCCTTTATTTTCAGATAACTTTTTTTTTTTTTTTTTTTTCAGTACAACTTACAATTAGAACATCGGCCCTTCCACTGTGCAAAATCATTAAATCACAATGATAAATTATGTAAATTGCAATATTACAATTCCATGATGAAGTAAGAGAAGGAAAGGTCATCTGTGTATGATTTTTGAAAAAGTACATGAGTATTTTACATTTTTTGCAGACATAACTAATTCAAAAGATCACAGTTTCTTAAATTGTTTCAGGGAAGCACGCAAAACATATGCTGCTGACTGGCAAGACGGACCAAAAAACAACCTGTGTTTTGCTTTGACCTGCAGTGGCACTTGATTCTCATCTGGAACTGGGCTACGACACATTTTTAGACACATGTTTCGAACTCTCATACACAAAGCAGAAACACACCATATCTCAGGGATGAAACTACTTCGGTCATTTTTATATGCATCTAGAAAAACGAGTGCTTTCAGATGCCAAAAATCACTTTTTTGAGGGCAAATAACAAAGTATTAAACCAAGCTATATAAAAATCCTGAAAAATTTTAAGAGAAGGTCGGGAGAAATATGTTAAAAATCGGGTTGGCAGGAGTATGGTTGGAAATCGTCAGAGTTGGCAACTCTGCTAATATGGTATAGAGTACCTCTGGCATTCTTGAAGTGGAGGCATACAAATTCTAAATTCTGATTACATACCCTTCTAACAGAAACTGCTCCAACAGCTTCAGAGAACACCAGAGGTACAAAAAAAAAGATCTCTCACTCTATTTTCCATCATAGACCACTGGTTCAGTGATACTTAAGCTTGGTGACTTTGTAGAACAGAGGAGGTATGCAACTTCATGTTTTTCAAACCAGGACTGAACAACCAGACTTTCATGAATGAGGCTATTAATCATTTTGAAAGATGTAGTTTCAATAAGAAATGGTGCTACAGGCACTGAATGGATTTGGCTTAAAATGTTTCCTAGACAATGAGTAATTGTCATTAAGTAAGGTTATAACTAGATCTGATTCAAACCACAATATGATTGCCCAAAGCATAACTAAACCCCTGCAATACTTTAAACAGTCTAGCTAGTAAGCTTCTGCTGATGTTTTGCATACATAAACCTATTTTTAGCCATGGAATAGTGAGAAGGCTCACTCATCAGAAAACAGTACTCATGTCTAGGGTCCCACCAGGTAATGTACCTGCGAGGCGGTACACCATCTACGACGGTACTCAGCCTAGCATCGGACCCGAAAGTCCCGACACCTCCCTCTTGACGTCATCATGCGACTGGGAAATATAATACTAGGCACCTCGATGTAGGTACGAGACCATTTAGGATTTAAAAAAATTTCAATTCAAAGTTTTTCTGTGCTTCCATGCCGCTCAGTGGCGCGCAGCACAGGGAAGGAAGGCATTATGTTTGGGTGCATTTCATTAAAGTCATACCACATATTTTTGGCACTATACTGCTATATCTTGACTTTTTTCCTTCCCATTCCCTTTGGCTCGATACTAAACGAAACGGAACAATCAGGAACAGCTATGAGGAAACATTCCCCAATTTCACAAAATCTTCCAAAAACTGCATCCTTTTCTTTTTTTTTTTCTTTTTGTGAATAAGCTTTCATAAATTTCTGCAATTTTTTAATTTTTGTAGTTAATCAATTTTATTATTAGGTCAAGATAAGGCAGCACATTTATTCCGATCAACCATAATGTAGTGATTCACTTGAACCCATCAGATCTCTCTTGATACTAAACAAAACCCATTATACTCCTGACACTATAAATTAGTTGCGAGTACTAAATGTAATGCAGGATCCAACAAACCACACTTGTGCTCAAATGACTTTTTCTTGCCATTAGGAATTTAGTTCCACTGGGAATTTCAACTTCAAGCTGCATATTAAGTTCCCATGAAATGGTTATTCAAACACATTCTTCTTCTTCTTCTTCTTCTTTTTTTTTTTTTTTTTTTTTTTTTTTTTGAAGACTATCTCTTGGTCAAACCAAAGTCATAAAATCCATTACAGTGTGTCCCTGCCTCCAAAAAAAAAAAAAAAAAAAAAGATTAGTTAAAAACCTGATTATCTGAGTGACGTTTATAAAGCCAAATCTAACTAGGAAAGAATCTAAACCAAACAGTTCACAGTTGGCATCAAGGAAATTTGCTAAAACAAAAAGGCACCAAGTGGCATAGCCTTTACAAGAAAACACCATATTTTGACACACTGTTTAGTAGTATAACCTTCCTTTGAACTGCTTCTTTGCTAAATGACTATTACTTTGCACCTCAAGACTTTTTACATCATTATACAAAATTACTACAGTTTGTTCAAAATTTGGAAAATTTCTGCTTTATTTTCTTCAATTTATCCTGAAAAAAAAGGGGGCACATAACCACACAAATAAAAGAATGCTCACCAGGAATGTACTTTTAACTCAAAAGTCGTGAGTTAAAACTAATTCTACAATTTGAAATAATAACTATCACACTGGTAAGTTAAAATATGTCTATTAATAGCACAGAACAGAAAAGTAATAAAGGTAATGTAATCAATCAATTTACATTACTACTAATCAGCAGCATAGTAAATAAGGATAAAAAAGCAAACAGAATGCACATTAAATTTCCACCTTTCATAGCAATAATTTTATACTATAGTTTCCTAATATGTGCATTATAGCTCACTTATGGGCAATGAGTTCTAGAAATGGCAGTATCTGCATATTAAAGAGGTAGTAAGGAGGCACTGAGAAGCTAGTGGGCAGTAAAACAAGAAAATCTGGTTCCTTAAACAGTTTAAAAACAAACATTAAACTAGTAAGTTGATACTCTATTACTACACCCAAGCATCTTCAAAAGATTCATACTAAATCATGTCAGTTGTCCCTTCACATAAATTGGCCTAATTTATATCTAGTTTCTTTCTTTTCAAAACTTAAGACTATCATCTAATATCCTAAGAACATGATAAAAATTCTGTACATGGCAGTGATATCAAGCATACCCAAGCAGAATGTTCTTATAATATATGTGTGGTACCAGTATTCTTTTTTTGGAGGGGGGGGATGTAGGTTCATTATTATAAAAGTTTTTAGAAAACTTTAATCATTATCATTCTGTTTTCACAATGCATGATAAATTTTAACTAATAATGTCATTACTAATTCAGAAGTCAAACAACAAAAATCAGCGTTATATTTTCAAAATTTTCACAGGACTGGTTTCGTTTGTTTACCGAACCATCATTCTCAGCTGCAAAACCGTAAATGAACAAGATAGGAAATAATGATTAGATAAGATAAGAAAGCCTGGACAAGAATAAGCAAGTGGCGCCATCTGTTGATGAGACCAGAACTAAAACATAATTTCTTTAAAGGCCGAAGGCAAAGATGGATTGGAATTAGGATCGTTAACTAGAACAGAAAGACTTTTTTGAATAATTTTGGCAGCAGAAAAATTGAGTGTGATTTTCGGACCAACAATGTTGAGCAACAGAAGACTTCTGTGTTTCCTTTTTTCTAACATATGCCTCATGTTCCTTGACTTGAAATTTTAAGGCTCTCTTAGTTTGGCCAATTAAAATTAAATCACACTGAATATGAATACCCCAGGAATTCATATCCGGAATGGGGTCCTTGAGTATGGAGCTCGGAATTTTATTGATGGGAGAATAAACAACCCGAAAGTTAAAATTTTGCAAAATATGTGCAACTTTATAGCTAATTGATCGAAAGAAGGGAATGACAACAGAATTTTTATAGTCTCCTAAAACAAGAGTGTGCCTTTTAGTGTGTTGAGATGAAAATTGTTTAACTGCTTGATTAATAATGTTGGATGAAAAGTCCCTGTCAATAGCTATTGCTTTTAAATAATTTAGTTCTTCATCAAGGGACAGTTTGGAGGAGCAAACTTGAAGAGCATGAAAAACATAGGAATAAAAATGAAGCTAACTTTTGTTCAGTCGGATGACATGATTTAAAGTGTGGTGGACCCCATTCCGGATATGAATTCCTCGGGTATTTATAGGATTCCTTGCCAGTGTGGTTTAAATTTGGCCAAACTAAGAGAACCTTAAAATTTCGCGTCAAGGAACATGAGGCATATGTTAGAAAAAAGGAAACACTGAAGCCTTACAGAGTTCATAGCCACATTTTAGTTAAAAAAAATAAGCACCTATAAGCACTTTTCAAGCACATTTTAAGAAAAAATAAGCACCTGTCTAATTACATTATACACAACTGCATAAACCTTAAAAGAAAAAATTACACTTGCAAATTTAAAATAAGCAAATGCAATATTTATAAGAGAATGAGCATTAAACCTCAGCCATGGAAAACAATTAACTTTTTTTTTTAAATTTTAAAATGACAGTTCAATTTACAGAAATTAGTTTTACAATGAGAGGGGAAAAAAAAAACTATGCAGAACTAAAACTACATTACAGGATTTAATGATGAAATTTCAGTTCAAAATATAGAAAATAAATAATAATAAGCCATATTAATTGTATTCGCTTGGCACCTAATAATAAATACAATTTATTTTTCCACTCATATTAATATTTAAATAATTTAACTTAAATAAAAATTCTGAACATTTTCTAAATTTTCATTGCATAACAGTTTTTCCTTAACATATATTCCAGGCAAAGTAATTTAAGTAAAAAAGGAGGAATATTTCTGAAATCAGGAGACGGGAAATTGCTTCATATAGTCATACTTTAACAGTAAAAGCTTAACTAACCCGCATACTCGAAAATTGCAGAATATTCCGTATAGTCGAGCGTAACTGGAAAAAGAGGAGGGTGGGAGATTGTAGCCGTTCTTTAGATTTCTCGGCTAAATAAATGATTTTGACATTTCGATATGTGCATCATATAAAAATAGACCAACGGAACTGAGAAATATTCTGCTTAGAAAGAACAGTAAAACTGTATTAAGTGTTCATAAATAAATCTCAGACTGAACATAAAAATTAATTATCTCTGCAAAATAACGCAAACGTTATTGCGTAATATGTGCGGCGTAATTCTTCCATACGTGATATTACGCAATCGGAATCAACAGCTGCCAGTATTCGGAGAATAAAGAACTAAATAAAGGAAAAGAAAGAGACTTACTAATCTGGGGTGTTTTTGATTCTAATTTTGAACAGACCGTTAAGTTTCCGGAAAAGAATCATTCTTCGCTTGGGTTGGGTAGACCACAAAACTTTTAGTCCTATTCAATCCAGATTGGACCAGAAAAAAAAAAAAAAAAGTTCGCTGCTTCAGTATTAGAGATTTTGCGGAGAAAGGGGAGAACTTTCCCAACCTTCCGTACTGTATAATGTATTGGGCAAAAAAATAATAATAATAATACTATAATAATAAATAATAATAATAAATAAATAATATTTTTTTTTGACTATTCGATTACTTTCTATTTACTTAAGCCATTCCGAATATTATTCTTTAGAAAGCTAATCTGTGTAAAAATGCACCCATTTTGGAAGTTTATCTACACTTCAGCAGCTACTGCAACTACATTATAAATATTCACACATATGCTCATAATATAAGCTAACGATATAGTATAAACACACGAATATGAACTGACCACGCGGAACGAGAATGTAAATTATTAAAATCTTGATAGAAATTCAAACGTGTGTAGTATTTGGGTGGGAGGAAAAGAATACCGAATGTACCGGAATTTTGTACGGTTTTCGCAATTCTTTGATCAATAGAACGACGTACACCTGTCTGTACTCTCGCGTGCACCATAGGTTACATTAATACAGAGAAAGGGGGAAAAGCTATTTCCGGGAGTATGATTCACCATCTGACGTTCCATATAAGTAAAAGTTGTTTATTTGGTTTCGGCTTTGGTACGGGGGGGGAATGCGCGTTCATTACAAAAAGCACTAAAAGCAAAAAATAACCACTAAAAACAAAAAAATAAGGGCTTTAAAGGAAAAGTAAGCACCTATAATGGCCTTTATATTTTATTTTCAGATATAAGGCCTTATAAGCACTAGTAAGGACCGCTACGGACCTTGTCTTCTGTTGCTCAAATTTGTTGGTCCGAAAATCACACTTTCAATTCTTTTGCTGCCAAAATTACTCAAAAAACATCTTCCATTGGAGAACTGGATTTTTAGAGGCATTTCATATTCTGAATTAGTATTTGTTCGGCGTGTTATTGTGTCTTAATAATGTCATGTTTTTAGCCAATACCTATACAATACATTCAAAGATAGCTAATACATTGTTACACAAATAAAGGGCTAAACAAACTCTTAAGAGAGCAAACTGAATAAAATAATATTTGAAACAGGGAGAGCGAGCCAGAAAAACTAGTAAACTATGTTTTAGATGATTATTTCCAAAACAACTACAGTATAAAGTCTTTAATCCGGAATGATCTATAATCCAGACCCAAAAGCTCAAAGCTACAAACTTTCTGCACATGCGTAAATGCATGAGCATAATACGTTTACGCATGTGCGTTTAATGTATAACGGATGGCATAAGCTATAGGCTAAAATTAATCTCTTTCAGTTAATGTTTTGTGTTGTTCCTTAATCTTCTAATTGGATCTGTCTTATTATTTTTTTTGCAGACTGTTAGAGCAATTTTTATAAAAAAGTAAGCTTGAACTTTCAATTATGTCAAAAAGTTTCTGATTCTGGAGTTGCCAAAGGATCTACAAAGCGAAAGCATGTTTTGATGTCCATCAAACAAAAAGGGAATTGCTTGCAAAAATGGAGAAATGCATATCCTTCTCTAAAAAACCTTCCAAATTGTTTATCGATTTCACGGCTGCCTCGGAAGGGGGGACATGAGCGCGCAATGAACTGGAAGTTGATCTGTCAAAACCTAGCTCATCTTCAGGGCAGATGTTTTTATTTTATTCGGCTTATAATTCTTACTAAATGTAGTATTTATCTCGATGTACTCACTCTTTTTTTAATGATTTAATCAAATTCCTCGTCATTATAAATATCACAATAACATCAAATAATTTTCTGGTTGCAATTTTCTAATTTCGACTATGCGTAATGTATGCTTTAGCTGAATGCATTGAAAGAAATGTTTAATAAAGTAACAAATAAATATAAGTAGCTTTTTGTGAATTTTGATACCCTTTAGATCATAATTGCTCTTTGTTTCATAAATTACGGTTTCATATTTTTAATTTTATAATTTCTGCATGCCATCCTACCAGATTTAAATTAATGATTTATAAATTATAATTTTCTTTTATTAACTTACCCAAATTTTACTCCATATCTGTTATGGTATGAATAAACCAAAAGATAAAAATGTTTATATATTTAAATTAAAATTCTTTAAGATAAACAAATGTATTTTTCCTAAATCTTACAAATGAATGCTGTATAAATCTCATTTAATTTATACTCGTTTTTATCAGATGACGATAAAAAAATGTTTTAATACATAAAAGAAGAGAAAATGTGAAAGTAAACACTTGTGGTATACAATAATTATCTTAAATTGAAACAAAGCAAACACTTTACAACAGACTGAAAAGATATTTTGTTCCATTTTGAAATATAAATACGCCAATCGTACTTCGGATGTCAAAGTATTTGATCTACCATACACTTTATGTTTAAGAGGGTTTAGAATCTCAATAATAATACAAATGAATCTGTAAACTCATATGCCATAAATATCCCTCCCATATATGCCTCTCACCCAAGTGCAACTGAGGATAATGAATACTGAATATCCCCATTAAATATAACCATATGGACACAGAAGAGAGGAAAAGGGAGTGTTCTTTCAATGCAACAAGTTTGCAAAACGATTCCCCAGGTGAACATTTCACCTCCTTACTACAGCATTTATACCGAAATCTATACACCACATACACCTTGCAATTTAGCTATACACCTTGCAATTAATCTATACACCTTGCAATTTAGCTAAAATTCCCAAATGCATAATAGTGATCAATTAAAAAGTTTTAGAAACTAAAATGCAATATATTTATGAGACTGTACAGAAGTAGTTCTACCGTCGTTGGTTTAGTTCGTTATCATGTATTAAAAGTGTGGAAATTTCTAAATTCTGAACTTACTTTGAGTCCATACTTTCAGGAACTGTAGTATCACCACATTTTTCAGCAGTCAGTTCATTATGGCTAACAGCTGGCATTCTGAAAGATTAAGAAAAAAACGTGCATGCTGAGAAATTTCAATAATTCAAACACACAAAATAACAGGCACATCAGAAAATTCCAAATTTTTTAATGTTACGATCTAAGGCAACTAAATGAATTTAATCAATTGCATAGTAACACCGCCTTAAATTGACTAATTTCTTAAGAACTTACATATCTAATGTGAGAGGTAGCACTAATGCGAGAGGTAGCACAAAATAAAATTACCAAAAGATATTTACAATATATCCAGCCAATGAGGGAAAATACCTTTACATGTCCTTTTTCTACTATTAAATACTGAAAATTCAATAGTTACATCACAAAAAACATAATCTACTAGTTTACCATGAATGAAATCTTTTACATTTATAAATTTTTATTTCCTTGCTAAATGACTTGACACACTCTCAAATTCAGCACACAAATACTTGTTACATATACAACAGTAATTAAACTAAACCATTTTATTGATGTTAAAACATAAAAAACATTTGAAATGGTGTCGACAGACCAAAAAAAATTAGTATGGGAGTGCAGACTCTGGCCTATCGCCCATAAATTGCAGTTAAATCTTCATTTCTAAGTCTGTGGCACAGCAGTTCAAAGCATTTAACTTACCCCTTATAACAGCAATAAGCAAAATTTGGAGCAAAGCTATCATTCATGCATAGTAAATATATTTCTGACCAAGTTCCATATGTACATGCAGTCACACACACTAATTATCAATTTTAAAGGGTTTTAATTTGTACTTTAGCTCTACAATTTATGCAACTACTTTTCACCAACAACTGGTGCGTTGCACTTCTCTGAGATCACAATATGGGAATTTTGTTTTCCCATCTTTCAATATGTTTGGTTTATTCCAAATCATTTCTATTTTGCCAAATATGTAAAAACCAATAGTGTTTTTACTTAACTGAACCAATAACCATCATAAACCTCAACACATTTAAAATTCGCCAAATACACTTTAAATAACCTCTGGTACGTAAAGGAAAACATAGCAGCATATGGAACACACAAACCACTTTTACTAACAGAAGTACTCCAACAGACACTCCAAACAGAAGAAACACAAGCTTTCAATACACTTGGAATAACTTGTGATTTACTACAGGAAAGTGATCATAATGTAAAGTTTAGTTACACCTATGTTCCATTACATAATACGCAAACCAGATACCATTTCATTATTTTGTGGTAATTTCATATAACATATTTCATTATAAGAAAAGTACCTTTCCAGGTTTGGACTGTATACAACCCTTGCCACGAAGCTAAAACAAAACATGAAACTTTTATACCATTAAGTTAGTGCTCTCTCTCACATACACAAAGAAATATCATGCATCTAATTATTTTTGTTACATTTCATTAAATGAAAGATAGCACCTAATATATTATGTTCAAAATTTAATATGTTTTTTATTTACTTTCATACCCTTCACATTAAAAATTTGTAATCTATCTCACTTACTTGACTGTAAATGTAGGTTGAAAATAAATCACAGAATTTTAAAGCTTTTACAGAAAGGTATATACAAACTATACAGTTTATCTTTCTGTGACTTGCTCCAGTCTAAAAAAAAAAAAGTTTTTGTTATCATGAAAACTCACTCCTTATGATACACTTAGTACCGATATTAACTATAAAATTTAGACAATGAATGTACAATTATGAACCACTCAGCAAGCACTGGCAGGCCAAACAGGTAGTATAAAACTACAATATCTTGTAAATCACCGCAGTATGAGCTGCATTAGATCTACAGAAACGTGCAGATTAATTTCATCCCCTGCTTAATTAAGTAATTAGTGTTTTAAATGAAAACTGGATTTGAATAAGGATGCCAAAGATGAATTTCAAGCAAGAAACTGATCTAGTTTGTGCACACTCCCTTTATGCCCCAGCATGGTCATGATTTTTGGTTTACCTCCATGCTTTAAATAATTTTTCTTTTCAAATTGAACATACATCATATTCCTCTCCACAGTGAATTTTATCATTGCTGCTACCTTGCTTCAGGGTTGGTAAGATTTTGCCAAATATGTAAAAACCAATAGTTAAAATATATATATTTCATAATTCCACACTGTATTAGCTATTTGTTATTTATTGTAAATGAGCATAATTTAGTTATTTGGCTCTTCTTAGGAAATGTCTAACATGTATGTAAAGGACAGCACTGTTAGAAGAACTCTGCTATTAACACATTAACACTCACTCTATTATTTAACCCCTTCGAGCCGGGTAGCGAAAACGCGCGCTTATTGCTGAGGCCGGCAGTGTCTTACGCGAGCGACTCTCCAGGGCCGGGGGCTTTTTTGGTACTAAGCCTAAATCCATGAAATTTCAGAAGTATCAACGCATTGTTTAATAATGCTCTAAAGAGTATTTAAACTGCTTATGCTTTAAATATTTTATATATATACCTTAATTACCTTATTTCTTGTTTAAATGCATATTTTACACATTTTTATTTTAAATTATCACCATTTTATGAATTTAAACATATACATCTGAAAAACTAAATATATTACTTAAAATTTCTTTTCGTATGAAAAATTTGAAAACAGGGACTACACACAGTCTATGTTACATTCCTTGCACTCGTAATAACTCATTTGCCGTTTGGAGGATTTTTCCGGGAATGTGAACAAACAAAGCATCGTCGTCTCATTTTTTATCAGTCTTCTCTGAACAAAGTTTTGGAAAATGTCTTTCAGTTAATCTTTCAGAATCAATATCAGAATTTCAGAATCAATATCTGAAATATTTTGCATCATTTCTGCTATTTCATGCTCTGTTAAATATTTTCGACGCTTCGTCATTGCAACGGTAAAAACAAAGATTTCACGTCTAACAAGATCTAATTATTTTCTATAAACCGAACTGCAAACCGAAATACCCAACGCTTTAGAGCAAATAAAACTTCTCTACTTACAGTAAACAACTACCATGTGTGAATAAAGTGCGATTTAAAGAGACATCATAAATCACGCCATTCGGAAACATTTATTTCCCCGTTTGTTTATATAATCAAAAACACGTGTATGTGAGTCATGCTTCTCTCATTTCAAGTAGAAGGTCTAATTTACATGTATCTGAAACCATATGGACATACAGTGCCATCTTGTGGCAGAAATTATAGTTTGAAAAACGTTCCAAAGTACTGGCACAAATACGTGACAGTCGGTAGAGAATGGAACAATCCTCTGGCACGCCTGCGTGTCAGCCGGTAGGTAAGTACGTTCGTTGCTGGCACGTATACATGACAATCGGCTCGAAGGGGTTAAAGTCTTTCATACTGGGCTGATGTATGGTTTGCCTTCCTCAAGGATTTTTCACCTCATTCTGTTTTCATGTCTTTGCAAAGGAGCTGAATTATTCAGTAAATAATTAGGTACATCCATAATTTCCATACAGAAAGTAAGCCTACTTACTACTCATTTATACTGCTGATGTCACCACTACACTTTTTATGATGCTTTTTCATTTTGCAGGGTTTAGCAATAATTTACTTTTTGCATTAAACATTTTATCATTACCTTCTTACTAATTCTTTTCCTCTTTATAAATCCCAAATTCAGTCTGTAAATCTTAAATGGAGAAAAAAAGTTACAAATTTTAAAAATTCTTTTCTGATAAAATAGCTCACTACACTACTACTACTACTACTACTACTACTACTACTGAAGTAACAGAAATACATGATCTCATTGGCATCAATCACTCTACTTATGAGTGATGCATTTACAAGTGATAAATGAGAATAATTTACCTTTTGTAGATATATTTAATCAATTTTGCTTTCTCGGTAAAGCAAGCAACATTTCTCTACTTAAAAGAGGAACGCATTTTGTTTTCTATTGTAAGAAATTAATACAGTTTTCCAGAAATACAGAGAGAAATAAATTTGAAAATTTTTACTGTTTCCCATTATAATTATATGCTACCCTACCAGCTTGGCGGTAAGGGAGCCAGCTGTTATAACCCTACGCCTAGGTTCAAATCCTGGCAAAGGCACAAATGTTTCCAGTTGCATAAGTGTTTCTTTGGCATGGAGATATTTAAAATATTCTCAAGCCAAGTAGTTCTCGAGAGGTTGGTAAAGGCAAATTCATGCTGTCACTTATAAGGCCTAAGACAACGACAGCTCATTAATGAAATAATTATTCTTGTTATTTAAATGCATTAATATACAATATTTTTGGACATTAAAATAAATTTAACAATAAATATTATTAATTACCAAAGTATTTTAAATATTGTTATTAGTTTCTTCCATCAGCAGAGCAAAATTTCTCTGCCAACAGAAAGCCAGCCCTGATTCTTATCCCACTTTTAATACTGCAATATGACAGAACAGCAAAAAAGTTGTTATAAACTTACTCAGTCACTGTTGGTAAGATCTCCTTCCAACAAGAATCATTTTGCTTATCACCTGATGCACTACATTGTTAAAAGAAAAGTAAAAATAAATATAGTAAGCATCACAGAAATTAATGTAATACAGCTTTCAAAATGACAATTTTTATTTCCAGCATGATCTTGATGTGCTAGTATTCTTTGAAAACTACATATTTGTTAAAGGAAATTTACAGTTACATTTCAAATGAGAAAAAAGAGAATTTCTTTTACATTGTGAAGAACCGAGTCAAGAATTAGTTTTCAGTAGTTTTAGTCACTAGGAAAAATGCACTTTTCTTTGAAGTGTTACTGTCTTAAGTTAAAGCAATAAAATTATGTCTGCTGCAAAATCAGAAGCTTGGCAGAATGCTGTAGTCAAACCATGAAGCACAAGATGTTTTTTAGTTTCAATATAAAAGTGCACTGCTTATGAGCATAAGCAGATCACTTAAAAAATATTTTATTAGTGCTTTTAAATGAAATCTCACACCAAAAGTATGATAAATAAAAATGCTTCCAATATATCCTTAATAATTTGCAAAATTTCTAAGTACTTCTGTACATAATCATCTGTAACCACCCTCCGAAATTCAAACAGCGATGATGAAATTTTGAAATAATGTACAAATTGTAGTCTTTCCTTTTTTATTTACAGTATTTTGAATTTTCCTACATTTATATAAAATTTACAATACTTTGACATTATTTGTGTTTAAAGCATTTAAAAGAAAAGAAAGAAGTGGAGAAATAATAGTGTAGTTTCCAAAATTGATTTATTATGTATTTACTATTATTTTATTTTTTGAGTTTTTTTCATTCAACGGTATGCTCACTCAAGGTTTAGTTTTATAACTTGGCAATGACAATTATTTTTATTTATGAGCAAAAAAAGTAAAATATTTGCATGATTTTTTTAAAAAACAATTTAAAAATTGCTCTAGTGCCTAAAGTTTTCATGTTGCCCAATGGTTCAGAAAACAATTTTACGTAAAGCATCTTGAGTTGTTTCAATTAACTAAAATAATTTATAATTCAGGAGTTACAGAAAGCTGTTATCTCCCACCTTGATATTTAGAGAAAATATTTTGATCATCAGCTCATTTCAATTACAGCAAATTGTTTTTAAGCATATGCTCTTACTTATTCCAATAAACAAAGAATGCGGTAGAAAGACACTTTTAAAAACTTTTCATTGACAATGCTTTGAAAAGAATGGCAATATAACAGATCAGAACATCCTACTGGCCGATAACCAATGTTGGAACATGTACCTTTCTGTCAAAATTGCCCGATTTGTGTTCATTCATTCATATTTTCCATTTATTTTCACTGCATCCAAGAGGACTTAAGGAGGCAGAAAATTATTTTTAAGAAATCTAAGATAACATGTTCATCACCATTTGTAATTAACTGTTTGATTACATTGTGTTTAACTTTGAGCATTCAGTTATTTATTTATATAATGGTAAAAATATGTGCTTTCAAAACCTAATGTACATAAATTTTATGGTACAGTGTAATAAAGAACTATTATTGTATAATAATTGTTATTAATTATTTCAATCTATAATTTTCATTATTACATTACCATTATAATGAATTATAATATAACAAATTTTATAATTAATTATAACTTTATAAAAAATTATAATTATTATTTTTTCTTGTTTTTGTGCTAAAATCTATATACATATTTTGAAGGAGGAAAAGCAAAATTTATTTTAGAAAAGAAGAATGAACAAAATTATTGTATTAAAGATTACATTACTCGCAAAAGTCACATTAAATCAATTACAATCGGGAAAACCTGTTCAAATGGGGCGAAAACCTGTTGATCTTTCTTTTATCTACAGAAAGAATACTTTTGCTAAAAATATAATTCTATTATTTTTAAAAGCAATGAAATATGCAATGCTCATATACAATTCATATCGTATGAAAACCATTTTTTAACATTTTTGGTTTCTATGGTTTCAAATCAATGCAAATTTTCAAGTTTATTTTTGTGAATATGAAAAAGAGGCGTGAAAGATAACAGATGACAGAATCACCTGATGACATGGGGCCTTCCTGCCTGTGCTTGTGAATTCTCTTTTTCCGGAAAAGAACAACTGTCATGCGATTCCCTCACCAGTGGCACATAATTAGCATCCCTTCTGGACGATTATAAGCAATGCCACAATGCATTTGCCACAGTTAAACTACAGTACCATTACTTCCTCTCAAACAACACATAATAAATAAATAATTCTACTTACTCAAATTCTTCATCCATCCACGTGGACTCAGCTTCTCTTCTTCGAGAACTGTACAACCAATAATAATATATTAACGGATTAAAGGTCTTGCAAATGCAATTTGTATTCATTTTATAAAATTTATGCTATAAGGGTTATACATATGCTTACTTGAATTCACTTTTAAGATCACCCCAATTTCCAGGACCAGCAACATCTCTCTTTTCCACAGGACGCAAACCACTTTAAAAACACAAATAAAAAAAGGGATAAGAAAATAATATACATATTGTAAATTTGAGTTCACAACACTAAAACAGTTTCCTCCTCCTATTTTGGGCATAGCGAGGGCTTAGTCTATAATTAGAAGCACCAGAGCCCTATGGAATGTCATTAGGCAAAGGAAACCAAAATAAATACACAAATTAATTATTATAATTAAACAAAATGTAAAGTAATAAATAATAAAATACTAGAGCTGATATGATTTGGAGTTTTGGATGGAATAATTTCACTAAAAAAAAATTTTAGTATTGAGGCCGATGTCATGCTGAATTTAAGCTCTGAGGGCAACCTATGGAGACAACAGCAAGTCACAGCAACAGAAACAACAGGCAACTGCACTAAAAAAAATTACTTTTCATGTACTTTCTTTAGTGCAACTGCAATATTCATGGACATGAAATACACTAATATCCTGATTAATGCTCAGAATGCGTTTCTATAAAAGCGCTGAATAAAAATAGAGTAAAACTGAGTCACTTTAACACAATAAATAAGTATGTAAGAAAATGCAACAAAGAATAACCAAGGTTTGTTTTAGTTACACTGACTTGGTATACTTGCACACATATGCAAGAATATATATATATATATATATATATATTTTTTTACAGTTGAAGACCCTGACATAAATCTAGATTTTAAAATAACGAAGTTATCTAGTGTTATGGGCAAAGATTAAGATTAAAGTTTCAGTCATGCAATATTATTTTAGATTAGTATTAGTGCAATTTACTACTTTTTAATATACTGTCAGTACAAATGCATTATAACAATAATTTAATGAATGACATCAGCACATTTTTAGTGCTCAGAAAAAAATAGTGTTTTACCAAATCAGCATTAATTGTGGAAGCATTACACACAATCTTGCAAAGATTCATGAATGTCAATAACAGCATGCAATTACAGCTAGAACCTACAATTAACCTCAAAAATCTAAGTACTGCTAACTTATCTCCATATCTGTTAGATTTATTTAGACAACCTTTTTTCTTTGACAGGCTTTTATCAGCAGTTAAGGAAAAAATGCACAATGGCAAGTAAAAATAAATTAAACTTATAACGGCAGCCTTAAATAGTGTTAACTTATCAATTAGAATCCATGCATGCTATATAACAGTCAACATCTTGATCATAAAGCTCATGCAGTTTTATAAAACATAAAAGTAATTTCTGATGCTCGGTTCCAAATGCTCATCATTATACTATACGGCAAATGATATCTTGAGGAAGAAAAAATTATTTTAGTTAAATAAGAAATACAAATAGTAGTCTTACTGTACTACGATATCAATTTAAAACACACTGCTAGTCATTAAAGTTGCCACATCATAACGGCAGCATGCAATAAACATCAAATTTACATAAAATGTACTAATGCTGGGATATGCAAATGATTAGCATTCTGGCATACATGCTCACAGCAGGCATGATTAATGCCATCAATGTTGTGTATAGATGGGAAAATTACATTTGAATGTTGGTTGTGTAAAGGTTGTATTATGCCTCCTGTAAGGAGCAGGAACTCCTACCAACATATATCAGAATTTAACTGACATAACACTCTTACGCTACAAAGTCTAACACAGCAATTTGTCATAGAAAAGTCATTTATATTCACCAGATCTGCCACTTTATTACTTACAGCTCTTCTCCAAAGTTAAAATGATCACAAAAGGCAGATCTTTTAATTGATTAAATGCACCTAACTGAAAAATTAACATCAAATAAAAGTTAACAACTAAAAAATTAACAGAACTAGACTTCCAGAGTTGCTTCAAAAACTAGCAAGCACAACAGAAGTGCATTTGAGGCAAGAGTATTCTCAGAAGGGTGGCAAAGAGAGCATACTAAATTCACTGCTCTGTGTGCCTTAGACTTCCATAGTTGCTTCAAAAACTGGCAAGCACGACATAAGTGCATTTGCGGCAAGAGTATTCTCAGGAGGATGGCAAAGATAGTATACTAAATTCACTGCTTTCTGTGCCTATCTTTAACAGTTATAATGCATTATACCAAGCACAGCGCTGACTAACAGATCTTTGATTGTCACATGTGGAATGTCGATTTATACAGGTTCAATATGATCCATAATCTATAAGTGAAAGCTGCAGGTGCTGATAAGAGCCTAATCTCCAAGCAATCATATCTTACATGTGCGCAGATTGGACCAAGACAGGCGATCATTAAATGAATGGGTACATATTTATCCACATTATGTGCAACTAATTGATCATAAATTGATTAAATCACATTATGCGCAACTTGAGCAGTAATACTATCCTGTTGAAAGGCAGCTCCAAAAACCTCACTAATGTATCACATACACAGTTAAACTTATAATCATTAGCATTTGGCATAACATTCTACCTGCCAAACCTCTGGTCTATAATGCAACTTTTCTCCAGCTATGTACTATCACTGACCAGCAATGTAATATATTACTAAGTCAAAAGGATTATTTTCTGTAAGCATAATTACAGAAAATAATCTTTTGAGTTAGTGTTAATGCAATTATTTGTAAGGCATAGAAGTTCCTTTAGATACATACAGCTTACAGTTCCCAAAAGGCAAGAGCATAAATGATATAGGGTACTACCTGACACCATAATGCTCACACTGAAACTACTATAACACAGTCTACAGCAGCAAATTAAAAGTTCAAGATTGAAACAAGAGGTAAAAATGGCTTGTGTCCATTCAACACACAAGTGCCTTTGCGACACTAAAGTCATTGGTATCTGTGCTAGAAGATCAAAAGATGTGAACCCTCACTGCTAGAAATGTAGATATCGCAGCTTCATACATTGAATGCATACCAAGCATATGTTTTCAAAATCTCATACAACTCTGCTTCAGTTATCTCCTGATAATGAGTTAAATCTTCCATTAACTTTATGAATGCATAACTCCACCAAAGCTTTACCCAACATGAGGAGAAAACTGCCAACTAGAGAAAACACTTTCTCTCAATGTAATTAACTTTTAACATTTTCAAAGTTCATTTGTCCATTTGCATCTCATTTTGCAAAAAGGTAAGTTTTGTATATTCACACACTAATACAATATAGTACACTGATGTACTGTTTGGAATTAGCTTTTTAAAAGCTCACTGCATGTGCATCCATTTGCACATACAGCTAAAATTTTAATTGTTTGCATTTTGAATCACTGCACAGCTCACTCATCTGCAGAGCCTCCAGGTGATCCTACAACTCTCCTGAGATATGCATTTTTCACTGAACAGCAGTGCAACATAAACTAACAACTCAAAGGATTATTTTCAGTAAAGTATAATAACCTCTTTAGAGCTATGAAACAGTAAACATTACTTGTTGTAAAAAAAATAGTCCTATTCTTAATTTTTTTTCATAAGCTGAATATTTTAGAATTAACTGCAAAATGAATATGCAAAACCTTACAGCCATTGCATACCTCCAATATTACAGCATTCATTTATAGTTTTTTAAATACCTGCTTAAAAGAAAATTAAAATGAGGCATTTGCTTAAAAAATGAAAAAAAAATCATTTTTAAAGCCAGTAACGTAAAAGAAATATAGTACTTTTTGTTTATACCTTTTATCACTTCTACTATGACGATCAAACTCTCGGCGAGGCCTACCTTCAAAATTACCAAAGAAATTTCCTCTACCACGGGATCTTCCACGACCACGAAAACCACCTCGACCTCGCCGACTTTCTCCTTCACGTTCCCTAAGAATGAAGCAACATTACAATGTGGACACAATCATTTCCTATAACATCAGGTGAACATTAATTTTAAATGACTTCTTACAATAAAATACAATAACAGACAATTTTTCATAAAATCATTCATTTCAGCTTAACCATACAAGGTAATTTGCAATCCACCACTAAGAATATGAAATATGCATTTTTATTCAAATATCAATTGTAAAACAAATTCACTCTATGGACCATCAGGCTACTTGAATGTAACCATAAAAACTATTAACACAGTATTTATTAATTAAATCTGTGCAGTAGTGTATTTTTTCATACCACGCATTTATAAACAGTACCTTTAGAAAGATTAGCACAAAATAAATTTTTATTCAATTTCTTTGGTTAGGGCTACACTCATGAACAATCAAAAGTGCATGAAATTAAAATTCCTGATTTACACATACCCCCCCCCAATTTTTTTTTTATTTTTTAAACTGCATACCTGAAAGAATGGCTTGATCAAGTTCACCCTTTTTATTGCTGATTTGTGAGGGATTGCTGCAATTTTGAAAACTGATACTGTGGAACATTTAGAGGATGGTCTCTATTACAAAACAACCTAGTACTGATTTCTACAGCATTTAAATCATGATTATTTAATTATTATCTATTACCTCTTCAATTAACTCAGTTTTAATGATATTTTAAGATTCTCCACACTTTGTTAACACAATCGTTAATCTCAACAGACTTTGATGAAAAAGAAATTACTTTTCAACCTCAATTTAAACATCCAGTTCAACATTTAATAATTTAAGCCTCAACACATTTTGTTAACACAATCATAAATCTCAACAGATTTTGATGAAAAAGAAATTTTTCAACCTTGATTTAACATCAAGGTATAGATGTAGAACGACGATAATTAAGCAAAGAACAGCTTTTGTTGCAGCATGGCTTAAGAGGATTATAAAATGTAGCCATTCAAGTGCAAGTTTTGAAAACTCACTTCAATAAGTCAATATTTGGTTATATGTTAACAGATTTATAAGAACAAGCAGTGCAGGAGATGCAAAACATTTAAGGCAAATATCAGCAAATACCACAAAAACTAATCATAGAACTGAAACAATCTATCACTTCAATAAGGAACTAAATTTGCCTCATGGCACTGTTACATACATATAACATTTTATTTTAAATACATGCTTATCACAGTGAAGTGCTAAACAGAAATAAACCACAAATGCAGTGGGCTTCTATCACTTGTTTAGTAGATGTTAGTCTACCTGAACTTTTCCTACTGTTTCACTGTTCATTCTCAAAAATTTGTTGAGAAATAACCAAATATTCATTTCCAATTTCTGCTCAAACTTGGCTTGAACAGTTTCACATGATAATTTTTGAAATACCTTGCAGCAATAGCTATTCTTTCTTCTACTTGTTTGGGGGGGGTTCACGGTACCTTTTGGATGTTTATGCCCTACCCACACATACTTGTAGCAGTACAGTAAGACCCCGCTTAACGCGGGGCATACTTTCCATCAAAGTAGAGCTAATATGAAACAGCATTAAACATGGTTATCTCATTATGTAAATAATGGGGTTAGGGGAAGATGGGTAGAAAATTGTTCAAGTATTTTACCATTAAATTTGATAATTATGTTTTTTATAACAATGAAACAAAAATTCATTTCTTACAAATATAGAAACATAATAAACAAAAATATATATATAAAAATAAAATTCTAAGTAAGTATGTTTGCATTTCAGATCATTCAGTCTCTTCTGTACTTTCAGTTTTCTGCCTTTTTATTAAGAAGGTATCTAATGTAATATGGTTTTTCCTTTTTGTGCTCTGTAAGAAGTTGTTGGGTAAGTGTATAAGGCATCTATAATGCCCCGTCTTGCCTTTAAACACCTGTCAAAATTTGGATCATTTTCAATAAATTCGTCCATAATTTGTTATAGCAGCCAAACTGGTTTTTAGAATGCTGTTGAAAGTTCTTTTTCCTCTTCTTCAGAATCATTACTTTCAATATTTTTGTGTTCTTTGTCTGCTAATTCCTTGAACTCATTAGAAAGACTTGTTGCTGTTTCTTGCATTATTTCTTCGACATCTACATTTACCTCATCTACACCGGTTTGTTTCGCTAATTCGACTATTTCATTCATATCGACAGAGTGTACGGTAAACAAAATATGAGTAAATCTCTAATAAATCAGACTGGATCGCAGTTAAGTAATAAACAGAGGAGCGTTCTTCCACACAACATTTATTCACGAACACCAAAGATGAACAGATACATATACATAATTGACATCACAGTTTCTTTTTACAAACAAACACTACCGCCATCTATTGGCGATCTATGGATACACAATCCTAAACTTAACATACGGTGTCACCGCCCTTGCTTAGATGTGGCCAAATGTTCTTCCACACCCCTTTCAAACATTTTTCTGTTATCTCATTCCAAGAAAGGTTTCTGTTTTCTACAGCATTCATTATATTGTAGTTTTTACAAAACTCTCTTATTGATTGCTTCTCTTCTCTGTTTTTTCAAACATCTGTCTAAATGTTTTTTCAAACATCTGTCTAGTTCTAGTCTATCTGTCTAAATGTTCGCCGCAGGTAATAAGCCTTAAAATTTGATATAACACCTTAATCCAACGGCAGTTGTGTTAGGTGGCAAGAAAACCACTTTGACTGGAATGTATGTTATTAAGTCAGATAAATTTTTTGGATGGCTTGGAGCTTTATCAATTAAAAGTAGTGCTCTTGATTCAAGTTTTTTTAATTTCGCAATAACGTTTAACAGACGGGCAAAAATATTCAGTGAACCAATTCTGGAAAATTTTCATAGTTATCCATGATTTTTTATTAGACTCCCAAATTACAGGTAAAGTTAATTTGGATAATCCTTTCATCGCTCTTGGGTTTTTGGAATGGTAAACAAGTAGTGGTTTTAATTTGAAATCTCTGCTTGCATTACCACCCAGTAGAAGTGTTAAGCGATCTTTTGCAGCTTTAAATCCTGGTGCACGTTTTTCTTAAAGGCATAGAAATGTTCGTTTTGGCGCATTTCCAAAATAGGCCTGTTTCATCAACATTAAAAACCAATTCTGGAGGATAGTTTCCTCTTTCAATTATTGTTTTTAATGCCGCTGCTTTCATATTACCACTTCCTGCTTCTCCTGTAATCTGTATGTTATGAAGATTATTTCAATGTTTAAATTTATTTAACCATCTTCGACTTGCAATGAAAGTTTCACTTGTGTCACTTGCCTCAACCTGAATGTAATTAAAAATTCTTCTAGCTTTTTCCGTTATAATAGGCTGGCTTAATGGCATATTGTGTTCAATTTCGTCGTCAATCCACATAGAAAGTCGCTTTTCCATTTCCCCTATTGTATTATTTCTAGAATGGGTAATTCTAGTTGCAGAGCTTGTCATAGTTGCAGTTGCCGATGATGGCATTTTTTCTTCATTCTTAAGGATAGTCCTTATTGTTGAAGTTGCCAAATTCAATGCAGCACTAATTTGAGATTGACATTCACCAGTATCTAATCTTCTAATCACTTGCATTTTAGTTTCTAGTGAAATGCTTTTTCTTGTTGCTTTAGTTTCATGTTTTTTTATAAACATCATGATAAAACCTAAAAATCATAATATTTGTCACTACATCAATCCTTATATAAATTTATACTTACAATAATGTCAACAAATGTTTGAAACGATAAAAATACGTTCGTATAACATCACATGAAAGAAACACAGATAAACTGTTTTGGATATCGGGAAGCCTAATGCTGCTTGCAAATTCCGAGGAATCCCACAATTCAAATAAAAGAGTGTTAAACCAAAACAGCGCTAAACAAAATAGTGTTAAGTGGGGTCTTACTGTAATGATAGATATTTTCTGAATGAAATATGTTGACACTCACTGAAAACAATTGACAGTTTTTTAAAATTTTTAATATAAAGTACACTTCATTAAATTATTGATTAAAATTCATCACAGAATATGGAAATAGAATGGAATGATTAAAACTTCCAAAACACTTTTTTTAATGAAACTGACAAAATATGCCCATGCTCCTGCCAGAGTACATGTAAGAAGTACATCGATAGCATATGCTATTTAGGCATATGGGATGTCATATCAAGTATCTTCAGATACATGGTTTTACAACATTAAACTGATAGATTTAAAATTCG